TAACAAATACTTTTCATGTAGACATATGGGTAAAATATCCCTGTGACTATAAGTCTTTTTTTAAAGACTTTTCCACCATTCGTTGGAATGGTGGGCTACTTTTACATAAAAATAAATGCAAAAAGAAAAATAAATTTCGGCATTTCGTATGGATTGCAGCAAAGTGTACTATCTTGGCTTTATTATAATGGAAAAACGGGATAATAAAACTATTTATTTATTTATTCGCTCTGTTTAATCTGTTTACCATTATTATCACTATTGTTATTATTGTTATCATCACGATCCTGAACAATTTCCATTATTTCATCATGAGCTGATATTAGTTAGAGAACCATTGGAAAACCTGGGAGTACTGGGCAGCTGTCTCGCCCTAGTTTGGGACTCTTCAACAGTACGCACCCACTGGGGTTCGAACCCAGGACCTTCTGGTTACAAGGCGAGGTATGTCTTGAATTGGCAGAAGTTAGAATTCACGGGCCATTGGATCGGGTCTCAGTGACTTAATGATATACGAGCTCGCCTTGTAACCAGAAGGTCCTGGGTTCGAATCCCGGCGGGTGCGTACTGTGAATAGTCCCAAACTTGGACGAAACAGCTGTCCAGTACTCCCAGGTTTTCCAATGGTTCTCTAACTGATGTCAGCTCATTATGAAATCCTGTAACCAATCAAATCGTTACAAACCAACACTTGAATTCCCATTATTATTGCACTCATCCCCCTCATTACTTTCATTCGTCATACCTTTTTGCAATCCTACAACCTATTCTACCAAACTTTTCAGTGTTAAGCAATGTCTTATTTGTATACTAGTCTTGCTAATTTCACACCCTTTCTAAGGTTTATGCATTTTATGAAATATTTTGTGTACTGTTCTGTCGACTGATAGCTTATTTTGATTATGACAGCAAAGATTGTTTCATTATTATTACATTTATTAATAGATCATTATGCTTTAAAAGGATAAAATTCTTTCATGAATTTACCTTTAAGTATGATTTAGAAATAGATAAAATGAACAAGGATTTCTTTTAAGAAACATATCTGAAGTATTTCCAAGTGAGATTAGGTATGCATTGTGGAACAGGCATAGAGGTGAGATGTTTTTAAATCAGTACCGTCCTTCACTTTAATAAAATTCGAAGATAATAAATAGCTTAAGTAGTTATTAGCCTAATTAATTCCAGTATTTAGGGAAGGGGATTGCATAGTAACATTCGATTCAGTCTGTGCTCACGTCAGCACAAACAAACGAAATAAAATCCTTCCAGTGGACCGTTTTAGTCACTGGGTGTTCACTGCGGAATTATTTGGGATCCAAATTCTCTGAACTCGTGACTATTTTAATTTAAAGATGTACACGTCTTTCCTACTAGACAGTACATATTTCATTTTATAGTCAAGATACATGTAAAATTCTGGAAGATATGTCAGTGGAAATATTCCGAACAGTAAGATTCAGTGACGTTTATATTTGTGAAAGGAGTTCAATAGGATGACGGGGAAAGCAAACATTAACTAAAAAATAAAAAAATCTACTTACTGTCAGTTAGTTTATTAGACCAAGAGGATTGTATTCTGATAATATAAAAATTTGGTGGAATAATGCCTCCACTGTAATCCCGATTTTACCTTCATATTGGCTAGTTTCATTTTCGTAACTTCTAAACTGAGCATATTTGTTTCTTTTAAAATACTATTTTCGCTGAAACTTGAGCATAGCATAGCACTGGAGGGTTCAAACACCGAAAATTTGAGGGTGGGCTTCTAAACCACACCTTAAAAAATCCATGGCAATATCAAGACATCTCTTGAAAAACCCTGTTAATCAGCAAAGGGTGAGAAATTCAGTTCATTAAAATAAAGAAAAAGGAATTTAAAGACATAAATAATCAATAACTGATATCTTTCAAATTGAAAAGGGTATTCACATATCAATAAATGAATAAAAAGTGCCCTGATAACTGAACCAAGGGAAAGTGGACTTTTGTCAAATGCAGTACAACACATTTTGTGACCGACTTATATTCACCTGTTGAGGTTCAAAACCAGCGCTGTGTTTAACATCAACAAAATATGAAACGATCTGAGACTATTCTTTCAAGTCATTCTGCATACATCAAAATGCATCAAATGAAACTGTAGCCTATAAGAAAACTCTGAACTATATTATAAACGTTGATGACTCTATGAGGTTATAGAGATGCCTTATTAAAATATTCCAGCATCTAAAAACTTGATAAATTGATCTGAAGTCTTTACATTCATCTTTGTAACATATTTTTAGGGAATTATTTATGCCATCGTTAAGATTGATTTTGTCTGTCACTGATGTCTAAGGTTGTCTGTTTGCATTATTCATTAGAAAAATCATGTCAAGCAGTCAATAGCTTTTAGTTATCTTAACTGGCAAGTAGCTGCTTAAGTGTGTATTCCCTGGCTATAAGTTTATACTTGCTGCAAATGTTCAAAACATCAGTAGATCCTATAGTGTACTCATACTTGTAGTCTGTTTTCTTGCTGACATTAGAATTGTGCTGTTTCCCTGTTTACAACACATATCTTACCAGTGTTTCATAAAGTTCCTTATCTTCATTAATACAATTAATCGTTACGCCAGTAATTTTTTTTTCCTTCACGTTCCCCAGTGGAACATAGGGCTTCAAGCTAGTGGCTTGAGGTTTCTGTAGCAGTGTTTATCTTACAGTATGGGGTTGCTAGCCTCATGCCCAACCTTTTACTCTTCACCAGCATTATTTCTGGCTTAGCCAGGTAAAGGAGTGCGTCGGCCGGGGATCGAACCCCGAACCATGTGCATGGTCGGTGAGAGTCCTAACCACTATACCACCGACGCACTTACGCCAGTAATGCTTAATAGTAATTGTCCATACTTTAACGACTAAGTATACAGAACTTTCCGCCTTGGAAAAATACATTTAGATACAGCTTCTTGTCAAAATTCAGGATACCCGAAATACATCGGCAATTGAATTTAGGACCACCTCAAAGGTCTGTATATGTGGCATTAATCTTACATCTTTACATGTATTAAATTCTAAACTGACTAAATCACATGCAATGAAACAAAAGTTATGAGAAAACAAAGTAGAAAGGGGTGGAAACTAATTAGTTCTGACGTGACAGCTATCTAGATCAACATTCTAATCCATATATTTCTGGTAGCCGTTGGCAAAGGGTTTGACTTTGAACTCACAAAGAGAAGTGAAGTCTCTATCAAAGAAATAATATTAGGTCTTTAATTATGCCTAAACTTCACTGTATTCATATTTTAAAATAAAACATACAAACAAACAAATGCAGTCGCTATAGGATCACTAATATCTCCAGCAGTAGCAGACATATTTATGGATATTTCAGAACGTAAAACTTCTGCTGCTACGTTATGTCAACGATAAACAGACGACTCATCCACTTTGTTGAAATCCAAACATATCCCTAGGTAGTGGACATTTATAAACTGAGTAGTAGATGGAATCCCGTTCATTTACGTATTAGAGATAGAACAGTGTGAGCAAACTATGCTAGACTGTAAAACTCAATTAAAACAGAATGTGGGTTAAATAGTAGCGTCGGTGGAAAACAGTTACATTCTCATAGGTATCAAAACTTTGAATCGTTTCAGGAAAACCAGTAAAGGTAGGTTCATTCAAAAATATATGAAGACCCATTCGATTTTCTTACTTAATTGAAATAACATAAGTAACACGGAATTCAAATCCTCAACAGTACTGCTATATAAGGAAGGAACAGCAGAGGCCCTACGTAGGTTTCTTCGTGCGTCTGATATTAGGGTAGAAGCAAACTCTGTTGGATAAGGATACAATAGATCACTGTGTACGATATCAAACAGACTTATCTTTTGTGGATATATGTTGTCCCACAATGCCAAAACTGTACTCTTACATGAAATCAGAAAGGTTGAATGGTATGGAAAAAGCTTCTAACCATTAGTGCATATTTTCGTCTGCATTAGTAAACTATTACTTTGACGGTTATGGAATAATTTTGCTGTCGTTTTTTCTCCAGCCCAAGAAATTGTGGTCTTCACTTGAACACTCAGAATGATTTCTAAGAGCCCCTATGCTCTGGAATGGTGATAATTATTGTGAATCGCTGCACTTTTCAAATGTCTAACGAAACCTCTGCCCAACATAAACCACACTGAAGAAGTGATGTGTTTTTTATTAGTACTAATAGTTACTGTTCACCTCTGTCAACTGTGAGTTATACTTTTAAAAATGACACGATTTGTAATTTATTAACGAATTCGAACAATGAAAAATATATGCATATGTGCATCAGAAAGACAACTTATACACATATGTTGTTAAGAAACATCCATGATTGGAATACTGTCGTCCATATTCATCAGTAAACGTTTTAAAACACCAAATGAGATTTTTGAAACTGTTTAAACTAATAAAATCTTAGTTTATAACAAAATTCCTCTTTCAGCTGCCGACAGAATGAAAAGCTGTTGAAAATATAGATAGTATAGGCGTTATTCTAATTATTCTTTGTTTATTACACTTCAGATAAAGAAACATTTATGAAACCCAACAAAATTGGACTAGACAGCATAAAATAAAACATAAAAAGCAACAACATTCAGATAAAAAAACAGTCAACAACAGCTATAAAGTAAATGTAATCAGTTATATGTTAAAAGTTAAACATTATAAATTAAGATCCTTCTGAAAAGTGTCAGTTACCTTCATATTTCGAAACTTGAAACACTGGAAATTAGTATATATATTGGTGAAATATGTTTTCTTAAATATCACTGTGGAGGAGGTGAAAATAAATAAAAATATTAGAGATATTAAAAATCACCACCTTCACTGTAATTTAATAGAATTTGGCTTTTATAAATGAATGCATTATTAGAAGGTTACTTTATTTAATGATATTAGACATTTCAGATACTGTTTTCCTTATATTGGATAATATCTGAAGTGCATTTCCGATTGCATCAGGTTCACGATGTAACCCTTTGTGAAGTGCCACTACTGTTGTAATTATTGTTGCTGTTGATACTTGTGCAAAGAAATATCTTCACAAATAACTGGCGGAAATAAGACATCATCCATATGAAAACCACGAAATTGCATATTGAGTCAACTGTAATTAGTGTGTTGCCAATCGTTTCTAGAGTACGACTCAGGGGAGTATTTGTCAATATTCTTGCTGTTTGCAATATTGATAGAATTGGATTCATGCATTCCAGTGACCCAAACAACATTGCCACGACTAAAACTATTTTCGTTGCTCTCATCTGGCCTTTTTGACGCTTTCTTAGAGCATCTTGCTGGGCTGGACATTGTTGCCGTTCTTCATGTAGAGACGGTATTTCATCCGATGATTTCGAATTCGGGGGGAATAAAATAGAATCATCATTTTCATCCCATGGTCTCAGTCTCAACAAAATTAAGAGAGTAAACAGAATAATCAAAACCCATGTAATAATAGCCTGATAAGGCAGAACAACAAATGTCATAAACCTTGAAAATTCTTCACTGCTCCAAAAGTAATCTTCAGACCATAATGCGTATTTTTGAGAAATCTTATCATAACACAATAAGCCAATAATATCTATATGCTTAAGAGCCGAAATGAAGGTTGAAATTATCACGAAAACAGATATTATCAGAATGAATCTTTTGGGGTTTCTTAAGATACGTTGCCATCGTTTGGAACCTAATGGCCACATTACCACTTCGGCACGAGCAGCAGTTATTAAACAAATACACCAATTTCTACACATCAAACCGGTTTCTGCCAAAAACATAATTACATTTTGCGCAGTTGGAATCACAACGAGTCTCATATCAGGCGGTATATGTGATGCTGGATTAACTGGTCTTTGATGAATAAAATATGGTGAAAGTACTTGAGTCAGTTTTAAAATAAATACATTGAGATTGAAAATTACTTCAAAGGTGCTTAGGATTATCAGACTAGTCAGAAATAAGCTTCTAGGACGTCTACGCTCTTTGCTTCCTTTCGTTAAATTTTTTGTAGGGGCTGTAGTCACTGCACTTGTTGTTGTTGTTGTTGCTAACGTTGTTGTTTTTGTTCCTCGTAAAGATACAATGAGATTTAATGTTGCTTCACCGAAAAGAAATAAAAACAGCGATATGGCATTGACAATAAAAGCAATCAGAGATAAGCAGATAATTGGTATTTGTTGCAGTTTTTCAGGTATGACTAATGGTTTCCCATATTTTCCCGGGTCAGGAACATCTTCGCAATGTCCCAGATAACGCACGTAATAGTAAAATGTGAAAGAGAACTGTAGATCTGTCTCATTTGTGAGTGACATTGTCTTGTTAGAAAAATAGAATGTGTTACTGCTTTTTGACAAATTCAAGTTTGGAATAACCGATAAATATTCATAGACAAAAAAATTATTAAAATATGAAGAAATGTTGGTTTGAACTAAATGAAGTAGGTCTATGGTGGACTTTTAATGTGCCGACTTTGATTGGTTATTATTTAACAACAAACACATGTAACTATTAAATACCAACCAAACACGCACTTTTCGGAATTTTTTTTGTAATAGAAGAACGAAGATAGACCAATGATTTTTAAGGCTGAAATTTGTAATCGCGGCCTTAATCTCCACAGTCTAAGGATAGGTCAAAACGATATAAACAGTGACACGAACCAGATTGGTTGACATCTAGTATATTTAATTGCCAAAGTGGTGAGAGGACGACATGTCCAAACGTATAAATATGAAAATATTGTGACAATTTTCTGTTTACCTAAAAGTATCATTTATATGATACATAGATCACTGTCTCAATCCAAAGTACAGAATAGGTTATAAACAGTTTACGTGCACTGTTATATCCATTAAAATTTAGTAAATACACGATGAAAATAGGCATATACAACTGTATTGTGCGAATGAACTCGACCTCGTAGTCACCTCGTAGTCTATTAAAGTCATCAAACATTCGCAGCATACACGCAGCCCCCTTACTGATTGATAAAATCCGTTTGAGTTAAGCCTTTAGATCACATCCTAAATGTAACTGTGGTAAATTAATCTGTATTTATTTGGTGTTTACAAGCTGTATTATTCTGAGTTTTTAACTGGTTAAAGTTTTCTTTTGATATTATTTCATTGTGTCGTGTGAAATAAATATTTGTTGCTGATGACGTTTCTTTAAATGAATTAAGTTACCAGTCATCATTTGAACATTGATTGACTGTTGTTCCGTGACTTCAGAATACAACTACCAGTTTGTGTATTGACCACGCCTAAGCAGTATTTGAAGTAATACTTTTGGTGTAGTTCTCTGAGCTGGAACTTTAAGTACTGAAGCTTTCATTGTCTTACTTGACAATACTCTCAGCTTGAAGTAGGCATTTTTAAATTTTCCAAGAGTTTATCAGTCATCTCTCCTAGTAACCTTGGATGTGATTGCTTGCTTTTGTGTATTCTTCAACTCTCTAGTTGCCGTGTGTTGGTATTGATCATTTTCTTGACCTGAAAGTTGACCTTTTGTTCGTGTGACTTCCTTTTCATGGGTTGGCAGATCTCGTCTATGTCAATGTGTCTTGACTGCAGATTCCCCTGAATACCAGGCTTATAGAAATTTTCTCTTCATAGGATTTGTACATTGTCTCAATGGAATTGGCGTCTACGGTTTTCTGCATGCACTGATATGATGGAGTGTATATTGTGTCTTTTGACGGCCAGTTCACGTTCAAAGTTGAGAAAATGAAGAGGGCGTCCACTGTGATGAATGTAATGTTCTTCACAGATGTCGCAATTTAACTTGTAGATTTTGTTATTTTTTTATCTTCCTTCTCTGTTTGTCTTTTGATTGACAGAGAGCTGACTGAAGTGATTTTGTAGGTTTACTTAAAAATAAAATTAATGATGAGACACATTTACGTGAAGACAATGATATAATTAATTAGTTGACTTTGATAGTAATCAGAATAAATGACAGATATATGAATTCAGCTTCAGGGAGAACTGCTGAAATGTTGACTACCTAATTTTTGTATTTTTCAACAGTCTGAACTCAAGTACTTGTGAAAACTAAAAGTCACTCATTCGAGAATTTAAACTTTCAGCAGTGGGCTACAGTAATTATACTTTTAGACCACAGGAAAATATATAATACTTGAAAAATTAATCCGGAGGGCGCGTACTAGTTAAGAGTCCCAAACTAGGACGAAGCAGCTATCCAGTACTCCCAGGTTTTCCAGTGGTTCTCTAACTGATGTCAGCTCATGATGAAATCCTTCATGCAATTAAATATATAATTATTGGCTTCATTTTAATATTGGTCTCCTCAAGGATACTGTTTGATGTGTTATAGGAATATTTCTAGGCATTTGTTTCCCGAGTTTGATGCAACTACAAGTTGCACAGTACATTTTAGAACCAAAATTTTAAAAAATATTCTCGGCACTTACTGAGAAATTTTAGGAAACAAAAAATTCACTAATTTAATTACACTTTTTCACTGTTTTAACATTTTAACAATAAATAACATAACAAATGCGTGTAAGTTCAGTGAACTGTGATAAAAGCTTTGTCAAAATGTATAAACATTAGCAAGCATCCTTAGCATTTTCAAAAAAATGTTTATCTGCTTCATTTCTGTTTTCCATAATTTTCTAATGGAACCTTATTTATATAATTCAGATTACACGAAAGAGTCCTTGAAATGTGACCTTATTCATCACTCTACTCTCTTCCTTTTCTAGTGGCCATTACGCTGAATCTTCCTATCTATCTTAGACTAGCTGTAATTGTTATTACCAGGTATTCATAGTTATGAAGGCATCCACAGAAATATTATTTATGAAGAAAAATAATATCACAGCATACTTAATCCTGCAGGCATACTATTTGAAACCATTGCTTGAGATGATGACATGAAAGGCTTCTGAAAAAGGAAAGTAGCATCCCAGAACATTATACCGAAATAATACAAATTATATGTGCTAGAATGAAAGACAAGTTTAACAAAAGTTAGGAATGGATTAGAAAATACAGAGAGCTGACTGAGAGGTTGGCACAATTAAGCAAGAAGAAACAGTTTTATTAAATTAGTGGAAGACTAAGACCTAACATCCTTTAAATGTGAAGACTTGCATTGAGGCGTTAAAACGGAATGAATTTTATCCTACGTAATAACCATTTCTATATAAGGTGATTCTTATTGACCACAAGTCAGGTGGATATCGCCCTAGCATTTAAAACAAGGAGTATAGAGTTGGAGGTGGATTGATGGGTCTTAAATAGGAGTAAACTTACACCATGGATTCTGTCGGTAGTTATTATCTACCAAATAACAATGAATCCAAAACTTCATCAAGACAATTGTCTTTGTCACAAAGTGAAGAGAACAATTGGAAATCACAGTTATCAGTAATTGAATGGGTTTTTTTAAATTGTTTCTCCGTATACTCCACAGCATGTACGTGTAGACTGAGAGCAGCTGTTGAGGACGGCATAACATGAAAACTCGTTATCTTTCTTCTATTTAAAAAAACAGTTTATTAGAAATAGTGTAACAAGCTTGACAGTATATCAGGTTAGCTTCAGAGCAAAAATTAGTCTGTAAATAATTTTATTTCGAGTTTATTCACCCTTGTAACCTCTAATCGAAACGACGACCGGACTTTCTTTGTTGCTACAAGCTGCTTCGCTGTGACTGAAATAAGTCTAACATAGTTTTACTTTTCCAGTACCTTTTTCGTTGCTGACTTTGTTGTCCAAGTGCTGTTTACTGGTAGTTTCTTCGGGTTTTTACATGAATGTTTCCACTTGTGTAATAAATCTAACTAAATTTATCCAGAGGATGAGAATCTCTGGGAAGAGGAGAATTTTCCATAATATGTTGCTTAATTTGCCATAAAAATACCATGTTCTTCATTAAATCATATGCCTAGCGAAAACTCAGTAAATTTATTCCGTGAATATTGAACCTGAAGTTAATAAATCTTGTTTACATTTAGTCATAGCCGGAAGAGGTGTTATTTTCAAATTCCCCGATGATATAAATACACGTGACTTAGAAAATTGCCTACCTGCCAAAGACTGACATTTACACTTCCCAATAAACACTGTGCACAGATTATTATTGTTTTGATCACATCAAAGATAGAAATATTCTATTTTGTGAAAAATATTTTCACTTCTATTACGGTACGTTAAATGTGAGGTGTTGAATGTTGGTAGCGCCAGTGAATATCACTTAGCACTTCCAATGTTAATTTATTTTTTGAAATGTTTATATGTTCCTACCGCAGCAGTGATAAAATATTCGTTGATACACTTAGATTATGATTTACCATACAAAGAAACAGAACTTTTATTGTATATTTCCCATTATTGTGTACAAGCCAACAAAACAACTATAATATTTGTATAAGCTTAAGCAATATGTGGACCGATTATTAATTCATAGACTCGCTAAACAATCAGTGAAAATAAGGTTTCTTACATTTGCAAGCGTATTTATAACCTGCGAAATAATTTAAAATACTTCAACCAAAAATATCAGATCCTAATGCGTAAGGTCATTTTCTCTGTGACCATTTCTTCCAAAGAAAATCTAATTTACAAATAAAAGAGGAAGTACAGTGTTATTATGCTTATATATATATATATCGTTGATCGTGTAAAACATGACTACTTTTTATTCTCAAGGTACTGACTTCATAAGTACTGGCCCGACAAAGTTATTAGCATTTACTCTAACTATTTACCGATTTTGGAATTTGATCGGCTGTATTCCATCCAGGACAAAGGTGTTTCTGGTCTTAACTTCTTGTGTGATTTTTTCATGACCTTCTCAGTTCATTTGCAGTTTGTTTCTCGTTAATTATGTCATTTTTTTCAAGTATTCAGACTTCAATTTATTCGTAGTCTTATGCCTACTAGAATTCTTTCACTGTTTCATATTGGACTTTGAAACTCCTCTTTTCAATCTGTTATGAAGCCTGTCGTGATTCTAGACGTAATTTGTCTGCTGGGTGATGCCTATGAATTTGAGTTAACCTACTAATGAATAGTGGAGTACTGCTTTTGCATATGTATTTGATTTCGTAAATAATATCCTTCTTACCGTTTTTCATTCGCACAAAGTATTTTTGTTGATTTGTCTGTTCACATGCTACATCAGTATATGTGTGGAACAAACTTAATCATTTTGCTGACTGAGATAACCATATGGATTTTTGCAATGGCATCGTAACTATCATAATTTCCTTGCAATAGGAGTTTTCTTTCAACTTCTATATTTCTTCAGTGGGCCTTGATACTTGCATATGCTGATTGAACGC